CAGAAAAGCTAGAATCAAATACCTGCGATCTTTCAACAAAAATAGCTTCTCATGTTGACTCTAACTATATTAGACAGTTTAAGTGGTTGAATACTTAGGAATGAGTCATCCCATTAGTATTAAAATCATCCAGTCCCATTCAGTAAATAGATTAAAGAAATCTCTCATCACCTTTCTCTAACTAATAAATGAGGTGAGCTTTTGCTCACATAATTTTCTCATTAATTCAAATTAGGGCCCTTTAACAACTTCAAGCTTGATCGGGTTTTAATCTTAACAGGTGAGATTTTCAGTCATTGTCCCATAAGAAACTTCATTTAGAAAAATCCCTTAGTCATCTACCCCCTGAAATTAATCTAAAAAAATGGGGGATAGGGGAATACGGGAAGAAAGAGCATGTTTCACGCAGGGTGTGTGAGAATGCAGAGGACAGTTTTGGGGTATTCCAGAGATGTGCATGGGAAAGAAAAAAAGGAACTTTCTCCTCAGACAAGTAATCCCTTCCTTGCTATCCTCCCAGTTTGACTCTATGAAGTTTATGGCTGTCACAAGGAACAGGGAAGGTGTCAACAGTTCATAAATTGCTATGGAAGGTCCTTTGGATGACTCCTCATTCCACGAGGAGAAACGGTAGTTCGAACTAGGAAGCCTAGTTCGAACTACCTAGTTCGTGCCACGTGTAGCCGCGCAGCACGGAGTCCGCACTAGCGGATATTTAAAAATGGCGGCACCCGGCAAGATGCAAATGAAGCCTGGGAAATTCAAATCCCGGGCTTCATTTGCAACTCCGGTTGCCTACATTACCATCCTAGTTTGAACTAGGGTGGTAGTGTAGACATACCCTAACTTGTTTTCTTCTCATTGGGAAGGGACTTATGGACTGCTGCCACATTAATGTTTTTTCATGATAAATGGCAAGCCTGGCATCCTACTGAAGTCTTTTCAGGGCTCTACCCCTCTATTTGGGACAATGAGAGGGAATTAGAGTCATCTTTGCTCACTCCTAGGAACACATGAACCAAGTAACCACAGGTGTTGAATATCGACAATATTAATTAGTTTGGGCAACAGCTGGAGAATATATGGTCTTCTAGACATTTAGCCATAACTGAGAAGATTGATGGGAATGCTGGTACATCCTCCTAACTAGGCAGCTTTGATCCCCAATACTGTCTGGACACACTCCTCTGCCACCAACCACAAGTGAGAAAATATATTTCCTTTATAGTTCTCCGGGTGATATCAAGGGATGCAGAAAGTGGAAATCTTTAGGTAGGACATAAGAGTGAAGGCTCAAGTTAAGAGAACCTGAATATTATTGACTGTCATAGGAAATAAGGTTTCATTTTACTTTCCTGGAGACAGTTTTCCATCTGACAAAATCCACCATAATTGACATCTTGTGATCATTCTCCTGAGACTCAAACAAAGAGCTTAAAATTAAGTTTCCCTCACATCTCTAAAGGTAAAATACAGTAGGAACCACTCACTCACCACAATTCTATTATAAAGGTTTTGATAAACAGATCTTCCTACAATATAGCGTGAAAGCAAAGATCAATAAGGGTATGTCTACACTACAATCACAGGTGTGATTTGCAGCTCATGTGAACATACCCATGTTAGCTTTGTAGGTGGCATGCTAAAAATAGCAGTGAAATGCATACATGAGCATGACCTAGCAACATGAGTATGTACCCAGGGATTGGGTACAGTTTGTACAGCCTGTGCTGAAGCCCTCACCGCTGCATTTTAACCGTGCTAATAAGATTAAGCTTGCACTGATAGGTCTTTATGAGCTCCATTCACTATCAATTGCAACAGAAATATACATTAGAATAATGCTTGAATGCAAGTTATAATACATCTCTTCTTCCTCCTTGATGTCAATGACCATCCAGAGAACTAGATTGGTAATATAATTTCAGCTTGTCTTGCTCCTGTGATTGTTTTCCTCTTTTTTTTCTTTAAGTAGGTTTGAGACACATGCAATAAAGATGATGTTCATCCATATGTTATCTTCTGGCTCTACTAGTAACGTGTTCTTCTGAAGATTTCCCTTGAATGCCACCTAAAAGATTTAGCTGGTCCAGAATGCAGCTATCTGCCTCATACATGAAGAGAGACATTAACATATTGCTTTCTCTAGCCTAACCGTTCTCAAATATTAGCAACCCAAGAACACCCATTTTGTTTTTTCATGGACCCCAAGCTGGCTTCTAATTTTTCCCTGGGGTGCTCAACCTCTGGTTAGCTCCAGGACCTGCCCCCAACCTCACCACTTTCCCCAAGGTACCACCCAGACCCATCTTTTTCTCCCTCTCACCCTGAGTGCACTTGATCCCCACCTTCCCAGCACCTCCTGCACACTGCTGAACAGCTGTTCTGCAGCATGCAGGAGGCGCTAAAAGGGAGGGTATGCATCGATCAGTGGGCCAGAGGCCCTGGATATGACTTGTAGACCTCCTGGAGTACCCTTGTGGCCCCCAGTCTGGGGAGCCAGTGCTCTAGCCTACAGGTTCAATTCCATGTAATATACCATAGTATCTAAAGACCTCAACCTTTGTTGTGGTAACTCTCACAACACTCTTATGACATAGGGAAGTACTGTTATCTTCACTGTACAGATGGGGAACTGGGACACAGAGAGCCTAATGGCATGTCTATCCTAAGAAATTATTTTGAAATAATAACTCTGGAAATAACTATTTCAAAATAGCGTGCCAACACTACAGGAAAGCCTTGAAATTACTCTGAGGCAGGCTCCCTTAATGTGGATGCACTACCTCAACTTAGAACCCCAGGAAGCACTGAGGAGTAATTATTTTGAATGACTCTGGGGAGTCATTATTTTAACATAGCCGCAGTGGAACATCCACACTACCGCTATTTCAAAATAACTATTTCAAATTCTGTGTTATTCCCAGGGCTTGACAAATCACTGAATCTACTCATCCGGAGCAAGTAGATTTCAGCCAGTTACCCTGTTCACCGGCAGCGCGCGTATGCGCAATGTGGGTCTTGTGCATGCACAGTGTGGGGCTGGCAAGTAGGTTTTGCTGCCGTTTGTCAAGCCCTGGTTATTCCTCATGGAAAGCAGGAGTTATTATTTTGAAATAATTAGACCCTTATTTCAAAATAACAGGCTTGGTAGTGTGGATGCTCCACTTGTTATTTCAACCAGGGCTAAGTGAATTGTCCAAGATTACATAATCAGTTTGTAGCATTGCAAAGAATTAAACCTGGGTCTCCCCTATTCCAGGCTAGCACTCCAGGCATTATATTTTCCATCTTTCTTCTATAGGATGATTTGTAGAACCCTGAATGGCATGGAGTATAATTGGATGAGAAATCCCAAAGTATTATACAAGTCAATAAGTTGCTCCTTATTCCATTAGTACACAGATAACAGTGCTAAATGGGGTCTTTGACCTCACCTTGTTTTACCTTTGGCCAAATTCTTTCCTTGGCTATGTCTAGACTGCAGGCATCTTTTGAAAGATCGCATCTAGACTGCAGGCGGATCTTTCGAAAGAAAAATCCGCTTTTTCGAAAGAGAGCACCCAGCGAGTCTGGATGCTCTCTTTCGAAGACGGCCTCTTTACATTGAAGAACGCCTTCCTTCGAAAGAGGAACTTTCGAAGGAAGGCGTTCTTCCTCGTGAAACGAAGTTTACCGCCATCGAAAGAAAAGCCGCGTTCTTTTGAAATAATTTCGAAAGAACGCGGCTTGAGTCTGGACGCAGGGGAAGTTTTTTCGGGAAAAGGCTACTTTTCCCGAAAAAAACCCTGAGTCTGGACACGGCCCTTGAGTGCCTCCATGAGCTACTTACTGATTGCAGTTAAAACCCAAGAGTAATATCACCGTATTTGCATGTATTGTATTTATAATCACAGTACATTTAAACACTAATATCATACAGCAGTGTGCGGTTTTTGGATATAAGCATAAGTGGTCATTGTGACAGGAAGAGCTAACTGGTAGTATGGCCTTGTGGTTAGGTACTTGACTGACAATTCTCCCCAGGGTCTCTCATCCCCTATCAGTGATCACACCAGCTGTGGTCTCCTTTTCATGTGGGGGGTGATTCAGTCTTTTGCCTAGGTTATCAATTGAGTTCAAACTCTATTTTAGGGTTGAGGGAAGAGGTGTCTGGGGGTAATAGAATCCAACAAAATATCAAAAGGCTAATGTCCTCCATCATCTGTGGGTTGTGTGTTTTTGCAATGTCTCTATCCTTTTTACCTTTACTGGGGAAGAGGTTTGTGCCCCCCCCCCTCCTCCCTATTGGCTCTCCCTCCCCACTAGGCTCCAACCCAGAGCCCTGCAGAAGGCAGCAATATCAAACACCTAGTTCTGTTTCTGAGCTGCCTCCGCAGGTCACCTCCTAGTCCAGTGCACAGTCAGAAAGCATTACAAATGATCCCCAGACAATGGAGTGAAGGGTTTCCCATTGCCTAGTAAAGTCCAGCCCCTGTTCTGAGAGAGCTGCTGTTTGCAGACCTCTCTCCTGCAGATAGGATGCCAGCAGGTCAGTTACTGATAAGCTCCTAATATAGATCAGGCCTCTCACCTAGTCTGCCCCTTTCTGAACTGTCTGGTGCTCTTTTTAAGCTCCTTCAATTGGAGCAGGCTCTACAGGTGCAGCAGGGCATAGCTACCTGGGCCTAGAACTGCTCCTTAACACTTTATGTCCCATTGAGAGTTTTATAAGCTCCATCACAGACATATTGATGAAACAAAAGAATGACCCTCAAGACTATATAAAGAAAACAGGAAGTATGGAGTTAGTGGCGAATGGTAAACTGCTGTTATTAGGGTGTTACTCCAAATGCAATCTGCTATTTATTTAACATTTGCAAGAAATTCTTACTCTTTCTCTGCATAAAGATTTTCAGTATTTTCTTCTTTCTCTACATCTATAGACAAAAGGATAGATAGAACAGGGGGAGGGACAAAGACACCAGAGCAATATCAGGAAAACCAGTTCTCTCTCCCAGGAGCCCAGACAGCAACTGTGGTGCTTCCTGACAGAGTCAAGCAGCAGGAGCCAGCTAATGAGGCAAGTCATCCGTTATCATTGCAGTGCTTAGCCTGATTTAGTTATCTGAATCAAAATGACAGATTCAGGAGGAAGGCTCCTGGGAACTTGACTGAAAATGTTATGTTGATGTAACCATGCATTGATCAGTCTAATGGACTGCCTCTTGGTTTCCATGCCAACAATGAAAAGAAACAAAAAACGGGGGTTAAGGGGCATGCTTTAGGAAAACTGATATTGAGCAAGATATTTTCTTTATAAACAGCATTAGTTAAACATTGAAACAAGCTTCATGCCCTGAACAACTCAGGGCTCTTCAACATACAGGAGATTTTATAATGGAATTTCAACTTGTCAGGAACAATTTTTCTCTTTCCTTACTTTAGTTTCTGAGCTACAGCCTGTCACTGGTTGCTTATTAACTTTATTCCAATGTGAAAAGGAGGAAACAGTTTAACTGTTTCAATGCTGATTGCCAGTTCAAAATGTCAGGAATAGTTTTGTGTTTACAGTCAGTTCAACATGCTATGCATTATGCATGATGTTAAAATATTCGATTAAAAAGAAAAAAGTACATACTAGGAGGGAATGTAAAGAACTGACAAGTTGCTTTGTCTGGAAGCTTCGTGTATGACTAGGTTGTTTTAGTGTAAAAAAAACCAAACAAGCAAACATGTAGATATGATTTTTTGCTACATGAATCTTTTACAGTAGATTTCAGTAAGGGAAGCATAACAACAAAATAAAACCATACATATAGAATATAATTACACACTGTATAAACTTTGTTCATTGTTTTATGTAAGAGCAAGGAAATGGACTATGAGTTGATTTCAACACACCCATACACCTAACATCTACAACTACTCTCTTCAAAACACAAAGGACAAACACCTCAATACTGTCAGTGATTATATATTCAACTATGGCTGAAACCATATATGAAGTAGCTTTGGATACAAGATAGACAAAACATCCCTCTAAAGCACTTTTACTGGTTTGTGGAACTGGAATTTTATAAACTTCATTTGCTAAAAATCTTAATGCCTATATAGATTTTTCCCCCTTGATTTTTAGCAAATGAAGTTTAATGCCTATATAGATTTTTCCCCCTTGCACACAACCTATGTTGTATCTTCACCTTTAAGTGATCAGAACAAAAACTATGTGATGAAATGAAAATCTTTACATTTAGCATGCCCTGAGGAAGATACTTATGTCCATTTTGCTTTCTCCTTGAAGCTCTGACACACACCAAAGTTGACCCCTGAAAACTACTGAACCAAATCAGCTGTGAAGAACTTCATCAGTAAATTAGAATAATAATTGGAAACTACTTAACCCTTTATGAGATGCCCCAAAAATTGCAATAATTTTTTAAAATTATCCCTTACCGAGAGAAAATGAAGGCAGCTATAAAAATAATGAATGGAACAAAGAGGAAGATGGTTTTTATTCATTATTAGGTAGGATAGAAAATAGATAAGGCAAGCAAAAGGACAGTAAGGCTACATCTACACTCAAAAAGCCCCTCTTGCGCAAGAGCCATTCTGTCTGAAAATAAGCAGCAGAACGGCTCTTAAGCAAGAGGGGGGTTTTGTGCAAGAAGGAGCAGTGTAGACTGCTCCTTCCTGTGCAAAATACCCTTGCCCAAAAATGGCAGCTCATTAAGTATGCAAATGAGGCACAACGATATTCATCCACGTACCTCATTTGCATATGTTCTTGCACAAGACTGGCCAGTGTAGACATAGCCTACATGAAATCTATGGCCAGCAGAGTTAAGGAAAATAAGAAGGTGTTGGTTTTTTAAAACTACATTAGGAACAAAAAGAATTCTGAAATTGGTATTGGTGTCTTACTAGATCAAATGGTAGAATTATCAATAATGCAAATAGTAGAATTGTCAATAATGCAGAAATTGCAGACATGTTCAATAAATATTTTGGTTGTAGATTTGGGGAAAATATAGGGGAATTAATCACTGGAAAAATACAAAGTCATATAATGTTGTGATGATGATAATCTTTCCTTTTCTTTGGAATTTCAGGATTTTCAAATGATAGCAGCTACTAAAATTGGAAATTTTAAAATTAGCTGGTCCTGATAACTTTCTTCCAACAGTTTTAAAAGATCTGGCTGAGAGCTTGCTGGAACATTAATGATTGTGAGTTTTAGTGCATCAAGGAGGTTCCAGAAGACTGCAAGAAAGCTACAATAATATTTTAAAAGGGTAAACAGAATGACCTGGATAACTATAGACCTGCCAGTTGAACATTGATCCTGAGCAAGATAATAGAGTGGCTGACATGGGATACAATTAATAAAGAATTTAAGGAGGGTACTAAAATTAATGTTAATCAACATTGATTTATGGAAAACAGATCCTGTCAAGTTAACTTGTAATTTCACCAACAAAATTATGAAGGGCATTTTTATAAATATTGATTAAGAGTTGCTGGAATATACTTAGACTTCTGTAAGTGTTTGACTTGTTACTGCATGGCATTTTGATTAAACTTCAACAATGATGTAAAATTAACATGGCTCATTTTCAATGGATTAAAAGCTAGCTAACTGATAGGCCTTAAAATGTGACTGCAAACAGGGAATCATCACCACATGCTTCTATTGCTAGTTTGAACCTGCAGGAATCAGTTCTTGGCCAACTGATATTTAATTTTTTTTTCAATGACCTGAAAGAAAAAAAAATAAATGTGTAGAAAACACAAAAACTTTGAATGGTCAATAAAGAACCAGGCAGATCACTGATACAGAGAGATCTGGATCATTTGGAAAGCTGAGCACAAACATAGGATTCACCTTTTGAGGACGGGGAAGACCGTGTTTGGATGCAGACTGGCTAACCTAGTGAGGAGGGCTTTAAACTAGGTTTGACGGGAGCAGGTGACCAAAGCCCACAGGTAAGTGAAGAACATGGACACCTGGGAGATGGATTGGAAATGGGAGGGAGTGTGGACTACAATAGCAGAGATAAAGGAGGGACAAGGCAGAACTGGGAGGCAAGATCAAATCAATATCTTAGATGCCTACATACAAATGCAAGAAGTATAGGTAATAAGCAGGAAGAACTTGAAGTGCTAATAAATAAACACAACTATGACTTTGTTGGTATCACAGAGACTAGGTGGGATAATACACACAATTGGAATATTGGTATAGAAGGGTACAGTGTACTCAGGAAGGATAGGCAGGAGGAAAAGGGAGGAGGTGTTGCCTTATATATTCAAAATGCATACACTTGGACTGAAGTGGAGATGGACGTAGGAGACAGATGTGTTGAGAGTCTCTGGGTCAGGCTAATAGGGGTTAAAAAACAAGGGTGATGTCATGCTAGGGGTCTACTACAGGCCACCTACCTAGGTGGAAGAGGTGGATGAGGCTTTTTTTAAACAACGAACAAAATCATCCAAAGTGTAGGATTTGTTGGTAATAGGGGACTTCAACAATTCAGACATATGTTGGGAAACTAACACAGCAGGGCACAGACTATCCAATAAGTGCTTGCTCCGGCCATGAGGGCAATGGACTGGACTTGATGACCTCTCGAGTCCCTTCCAGTTCTAGTTTTCTATGATTCTGTTATTCTATGATTATGTGTTGTATACATTCATATTTAACCACATTAAATCTAGAAACAAAGAATGTAGGTCACACTTACATAGCGAAAGACACTGTTCTGAGCAGCAGTGATTCTGAAAAGGATTTGGACATGGAGGTAGATAATAAGTTGATCATGAGTTCTTGGTGAATGCTTCTGCTGATATTATCTTGCAGTGCATAAACAGGAAGATCTGGAGTAGCAACAAAGAGGTTGTTTGGCTGGTGAGACCACAGTTGAAAAGTTGTGTCCACAGTTCAAGAAGGATATTGATAAAGGGTTTAGAGAAGTGCCACAAAACTGACTAAGCATTGGAAAACATGCCTTTATGAGGTTAGACATAAAGAACTCCATATATTCAGCTTAACTAAATAAGGTTAAGGAGTGACTTGATTACATAAGTACCTATAAGGGAAACATATATTTGATAATAGGCTCTTTCATTCCACTGGGAAAGATATAACTTGAACTAATACCTGGAAGTTGAAACTAGATAAATTTAAACTGTATATAAGGTGTAAATTTTTAACAGTCAGGGTAATTAATCAGTGGAACAACCTACCCTGGGTTGTAGTAGATATTCTCCATGGCAATTTAAAAATCAAGATTGGATATTTTCCTATTATATATACTCTATACTCAAACTCCTGGCTGGAATACTGCCTCCAGTGGGATCGTTCTGCCTGCATTTGAGCTGTATGAAAAGACAGTGACTTTTACTACATGGAATGTTTGCATCCTGATGGATAATAAAGATAATGTACAGCCAGCAAGAAGAACTGCTGTTATCACCAGGGAACTTGTGAGGTACAATGGTGACATTGCTGCCATGAGTGAGACAAGATATCTATATGAAGGTTAATTGAGAGAAGAAGCTAGAAGCTACATCTTTATATTTTTTTGGAGGGGGGAACGAAAATCTGTGAAGGACAGACAAATGCATTGTGTCTTTTGCTATTAGTAATAAGTTAGTCAATCAGCTTACAAATTTCCTGTAGGAATCAATGAACAGCTAATGACTCTTTGTCTTCAGCTCAGTAACAATCACTTTGCTTCTCTCTTCAGTGTGCTTGATTCTATCAAGGATATTAAAATACAATTATATAGAGGTCTTGACCAACATTCTCAAGCATTCTTCTCTGAGATCTTAATGCTAGAGTTGGGAGGAAGTCAAATCTCTGGAATGGCAGTATAAGAAAAGAAGGATTAGGAAAGGCTAACTCTTAAGCAAATGTGTAGAACATGGCCTCGTTATTGTGAACGTCCTCTTTGGATAATCTAAGAAGTACAAGACCACATGAAGATACCCTCTCTCCAAGCATTGGCACCTGACTATGTTATTGCTAGAGCTCTAGGTCGGAAGGATATCCACACCACA